ATTTAATGCGATCTAGCAGACATCCACAATCTCTTATCTGAAACCCTGGGGCCAGATGTGTTGGAATTCAGAATGTTTTGGACATAGATTATGTATCATAGATTATATAACATGCCCAGTGTAGCAGCACTGCATAATAAAAATGCATCAATATTTATGCAAAGAAATGTTTAAACAGTCTCACCCAGTGGGATAAAGATTATAAATGGCCTCATGTCAGTTAGGGCCTTGATGCCAATTGAATTACAAAAAGATGTTTGATTTCCAGAGATTTCTGGAGTTGTGGATGTGGGCCACTGCTCAGGGTTACCCAGCTTCATTTGTCAAAGTTGAGACTCACAACCCCACATCATTCCAAAGTTTGTGGCTACCACCATCCACACTTCTCTGGAAGCGAGGACATTAGAACAGAGAGGTGGCCACAGCCTTAGGTTTTTGCACCCAAAAACCAAGATTATTCCAGCACTCAATGCTGGTGCTTTGGATGCAGACTCTAATGGCTTTTTTCAGCAATGGGGATGAGTTGCCTACAGCCATCTGCTTTTTCTGACCTTGCCACAGGCCTGGGGCTGTATGTGCTGGATCACATGGCACCTAGAGGGAAGAGGCCTGAGACTGAGGTTTACCCAGCAAGCCCGTCGTCATCTCAGGGTCTCTGGAATACTGCCCATTATGGTTGTATGGAAAGCTGGAGGTTGGGTTATGACATTGAATTTAGCCCTGGCTTTTTTGTTTCCAAACAGAGCTCACTTTCTGAAGATCCCATTCTTTCTTTTTTTAAACTGGATTTAATAATAAAGCGTTTGTAAGATATGAGATCTGAGACTAGAATCATCTAAGAAATCTCTTTGAAAAGAATTGGAAAATGACCTGTGTCCAGAGGGGACAAGTTTAAGTATCTTTCTTATTAGATTTAATTCACTTAGCAAACATTAAAGGAGTGCCTCGTCTGCTCTCCATGAGGCACTGGGGATTCAGGGTTGAATAAAACCCAACTCCTGCCCTCAGGAAGCTCACAGACTGATACTGGAGGCAGAGCTACTTCCAAAAACAACATGTATAGCAAGGTGAATAGAGACAGGGTGAGCCCAAGGAGAGAAGGGGATCTCAGCTGGTGGTTGGATGGGGGTGGGATGTGGCTTCACAAAGCAATGACATTTGGTGTGTGGCTGGCCACTGTCTCCTCTTAGCTTCCAGAGGTCCACTGTCTTGGTTTTCTTCCTCCTTCCTGGGCTTCTCCTTCTCTATCCTACTTCAAAACGTTGACATTTTCAGGCTTCAGACCAAGGCCAGCTTCTTTCCTTTTCCTCTCTCTACATTCTCTCACAAGGTAACCTTGTAACTGCCCAAGGGGTTCACCTTGCCTGCTGCCTAGACAGAGCTGATTTATCAAGACGTGGGAAGTGCAAAAGATAAACAGTAATTCACACAACAGGCTGTGCAAGAGACCAAAGTTTTACTATAACTCAAATCAGTCTCCCCGAAAATCTCATAACCTCTGGAATAATGTCTGGTAATATTTAGAATTCCAGCCTCTCTCATTCTAACTTGGTGGCTGGTGGCCTTTCATTCGTTTTACAAGAACAGTTTAGCTTTTGGGAAGGGCTATGATTTAAACTATAAACTAAATTCCTTCCCAAGGCTAGTTGAGCCTACGCCCAGGAATGGGATGACAGTTTAAAAGTTAGAAGCAAGATGGAATTGGTTAGGTCTGATGCCTTTCACTGTCATAATTTGTTTAGCTATAATTTTGCAAAGGCAGCTTCAGCCTCATTCATTTCCTTCACATTAACTACCTTCCATATGTGGACAACTCTTCTGATTGCATGTCTAGCCCACATCTCTGTTGAACTTCAGACTTGAATGTCCATTTGCCTATCATCTCTATTTAGGGGTGTGTAGACACCTCAAAATTAACATGTCCTAGTGATAACTCATGATTCTTATCCCTCAGACCATTTCCTCTTCCATCCAACCCATCTCAGAAAATGCTACAATTGTCCACCTGGCTGCTTAGACAGAAGCCTTGCTTCTTTCCTCTCCCTTGTCTCTGACACCTACATAACCAGCCAAATCCTATCAATCCTCTTGCCAAGGTGCGTGTGTGTGTGTGTGTGTGTGTGTGTGTGTGTGTGTGTGTAGACTCAGTCTTGCTCTTGTCCACCAGGCTGGAGTGCAATGGTGCGATCTCAGCTTACTGCAACCTCTGTCTCCTGGGTTCAAACGATTCTCGTGCCTCAGCCTCCTGAGTAGCTGGGATTACAGGCACCTGCCACCACGCCTGACTAATTTTTGTATTTTTTGTAGAGACAGAGTTTTACCATGTTGGCCAGGCTGGTCTTGAACTCCTGACCTCATGTGATCCCCCAGCCTTGGCCTCCTAAAGTGCTAGGATTACAGGCATGAGCCACTGCGCCTGGCTGCCAAAGTATATTTTGATTATTCTACCACTTTCCATCTCTCTACCTCCTTTTTTTTTTTTTTTCCACTCTTTTTGCCCAGACTGGAGTGCAATGGTGCCATCTCGGCTCACCACAACCTCCACCTTCTGGGTTCAAGTGATTCTCCTGCCTCAGCCTCCCAAGTAGCTGGGATTACAGGCAAGTGCCACCACGCCTGGCTAATTTTGTATTTTTAGTAGTGATGGGGTTTCTCCATATTGGTTGGCCTGCTCTCAAACTCCCAACCTCAGGTGATCCGCCCACCTTGGCCTCCTAAAGTGCTGGGATTACAGGCTTGAGCCAGCGCTCCAGGCTCTCTACCTCCTTTTTAACACACGCCACTGTTCTGTATTTTATCTGATGGTCAGTCCAGTGTGATCACAAGAGGAGAAGACACAGGAAAGGCTCAGGAAGAAACAATGTTTATTATGCGCACAGGTCCCAAAGACGGGAGGCACAGCACACCACACGGGACCACGTGGGAAAGACATAAGGGTGGTCAGGAGACAGAAGACAGGGAGCAAGGGGAAGACTGAGGCCAGAGACCTGATTGGGGTTTCCATGGGAAAGGCAGGGTGGGGTGAACAGTTTAGGATGGACTAGTTTGAGTAATTTCAGAGGGCTTTAAGCTCTCAGGGTGGCCCCTAGTTGTCTGGTACCTGGCCCTGATGGGATGATTAAGGCCAAGTCATATTGCCTCCTAGGGTATGCAGGGTGGGTGAAGATCTACAGCTCAGGATCGGTTTGTTTGTCTATCAAAGGCATGCTTCTTACTGAGCCTTTGCTATCTCTAAAAACTGTCTAGTCTTAGAAGGGGGCATTATCTCCCCAGCTAGAAAGGTTTTTGAAGATGTGAAAACATCATAACGTATAGCCGATAAAAAACATGTATGCAATACAGTCACCCTTTCGTTTTGGCCATCAGAATCGTCTGCCACCTCACTCTCCACTCTGCTGTCAGCTCTGATCTACCCTCCACACCCTGGCATATGGGCAGGCATCTCTGCATGAAATTGGATCCAGTTATTCCCTGGCTTCTGAGGTGCTTGTGGCTCCCTCCCCTCCTGCCCATGCCTTTCATGGTCTATTTGCCCTGTCCACCATCCTGTTGCCAACTAGCACTCCTTCTTTGATCCAGCCATGCTGAGGTGAGAGTATTTTTCTTCTTTAATGCTGTCTGTTTAAGTTTTTTCTCCCGTCAGCCTGTTACAGATGCTGCTCCCAAAATAGTCTCTTCCTTCTTGTGGTGCTTTTCATCCTTTTCCATCCATCTTTATCCCTTGGGACTTGGCTTTACTTTTAACCTCCACAGTGAGCCTTCCCTGATCACCCCACATTAACGTACTCCCAGCCTGTTGTTCTTCACATAGCACCCCTGCTTTTTTAAGCAATTTCATGCAGTGATCAGGAAATGTCTATGCACCTGCTGTGCACCAATTTTTTGCTTGCCTGTGAGTGTGATGGGGCTATGCTGGGGGTAGCTGGGAAGTGGGTGAGGCCTAGTTTATAAACTCAGGGTCATTTTCCCCTCTGAGTAAGAGAATGTTTTATCAGTATGCCAAGGGCATGGAGCTTGGGGATAGGATGGCTCCTCACAACCATGAGATGAAAGGTGGGGCGATCAGCCTTGGGAGGCTACAGGAGTCCCTGGGAACCATGTATGGCTACTCCCACTGTCTCCTACATCCATGGCAGGTAGGGATACCTTCCCTCTGAGCCCCAGTGTGGCCTTAGCACCCTTCCCAATGCAGGCAGCCTCCTCTATTAATCAAATTGGCCTGATCTGCCACTGCAGGTCTATGCAATTTCAGGTAGAACAGACTCCTCAGCTCTAGTTATTTCTTCCCAAATGTATCCTTTTAGAAAGAATTAGGTGGGAGTATAAATTACTTCAATCATTGTGGAAGACAGTGTGGTGATTCCTCAAGGATCTAGAACCAGAAATACTATTTGACCCAGCAATCCCATTACTGGGTGTATACCAAAGGATTATAAATCATTGTACTATCAAATAATGTGCACACGTATGTTTATTGCAGCACTATTCACAATAGCAAAGACTTGGAACCAACCCAAATGTTCATCAGTGATACACTGGATAAAGAAAATGTGGCACATATATGCCATGGAATACTATGCAGCCAGAAAAAAGGATGAATTCATGTCCTTTGCAGGGATATGGATGAAACTAGAAACCATCATTCTCAGCAAACTAACACAGGAACAGAAAGCCAAATACCACATATTCTACCCATAAGTGGAAGTTGAACAATGAGATCACATGGACACAGGGAGGGAGCATCACACACCGGGGCCTGTCAGAAGGGCTAGGGGAGGGATAGCATTAGGAGAAATATCTAATGTAGATGATAAGTTGATGGGTGCACCACCATGGCACGTGTATACCTATGTAACAAACCTGCACATTCTGCACATGTATCCCAGAACTTAAAGTATAATAATAATAAAAAGAAAGAATTAGGTAAAAGCATTTTTTAAAAACCATATCCTTCTCTGAAGTTCATTTAGTTAATCTGTTTCCCCCTCCTTTTTTCCTAGGAGAAAATAATGAATGTCAAAGGAAAAGTAATTCTGTCAATGCTGGTTGTCTCAACTGTGATCGTTGTGTTTTGGGAATATATCAACAGGTAATTATGAAACATGATGAAATAATGTGGGTGAAAATACTGCTTTGATTTTATCCCACTAGTATCCAAGTCACCAGGTTGAATTGAAATTAGGATTAACCAAAACCATAAATAAGAGATTCTACCCTTCCTAAATCCCTAAGCCCTGGACTGTCCTTAAGATCATTAGCCCTCTCAAGTGACTTTTGCTAACTGCTTATCTTCTTTCTTGCCTTGTTCCTAATATCATAATTTTTGTAATAGTAGGCTAGATCCAGAGAAAATGAGATCAACTTAAACCCAATGTAATTTTAAATAACTTACATAATCAAAAATACAGAAATTACCTTAAGAAATTTCAGACAGGAATTCCATGAGAAATCTACCCTGAATTTTGAAATCCTAAAATATTTGCAGAGTTTAAAGGAGCAACTTAAGTTGTTGACTTTTGCTGCAGAATACATACTGAGTTGCTGGTGATTCATTTGTGCCTGGCTAAAACCTTTGAATGTGTGTGTGTGTTTTTAACTTTGAAAAGCAAAATGAATTAAGCATTTCTAAGTTTTCAAATTCATCTGTGGATTCACCCCAAATATATGAGCCACCTCTGTGCTTTTTGAAGCTATAATGCCTTGGAGATTCCAGCTGGAGAGGCTTCTGACAGAAGTCTCCACAAGCAGCCACAGAAATGCCTGATGCCTTTGACTCAAAAGACTGGCAAAGCTCAGCCTTAAGGCTCAAAAAGTCTATTGTACAACTGAGTTGTACAGAGCTATTTTGGTACCATTAGTATTTTCATAGAGTGTTTCATTGGCCCCCAAGTTCAAGATGGTAGCCTAGTTTAGCATTTGAATATCTCTTTTGATACTTACATTCTAAGATTTGATGAGCTAGGAGGACTGACTTGGTTACTAAAAATGGAACTGTGCCTTTAGGTGCATCAGTAGCAGAAGGAATCTCCAGAATGCTGGAGCCATTAGTCCCTATGGTGCTGCACAGATGTAACCACTTCTGAAATGTTCCTTTGTTTCATTCTGCACAACTCATTTTAAGAAAAACATGAAAATGTGACAAACTAGAGTGTGACCAAGTTAAAAGGGTCTGGAAACTAGGTCTTTTGAATTGAGAAAACTGAGGGGATTGAGTCCAAAGAAGAGATGACTCAGTTTGGTGTGGGTACCCTGGAGCTTCCTTAGGCAATTGAGGGTTAAGGAAGTTTCCCACTTCGACTTGAGAGCTAGGCTGCTCCTTGGGCAAGTTACTTAGCCACTCTGTTTTTTAGTTTCCCTAGCTTTATTTTATCTATTTATTTTTATTTATTTAATTCTTTTTGAGATGGAGTTTCGCTCAGTTGCCCAGGCTGGAGTGCAATGGTGCAATCTCGGCTCACTGCAACCTCCACCTCCTGGGTTCAAGCGATTCTCCTGCCTCAGCCTCCCGAGTAGCTGGGATTACAGGTATGCGCCACCACACATGATTAATTTTTGTATTTTTAGTAGAGACGGGGTTTCACCATGTTGGTCAGGCTAGTTTTGAACTCCCGACCTCAGGTGATCCACCCTCCTCGGCCTCCCAAAGTGCTGGGACACCTGTATTCTCAAGTACTCAGGAGGCTGAGGTGGGAGGATCACTTGAGCCTGGGAGATTGAGGCTGAAGTGAGCTGTAGTCCTGCTACTGCACTCCAGCCTGGGTGACAGAGTGGGACATTGCCTCAAAAAAAAAAACAAAATTGAGGGAAGGATTATAAATACTACCTGCCTCATAGGGTTGTTGGGAGAATTAAATAAGTTATTGTGTATAAAGCACTTAAAAGCAATACCTAGAGCTTAATAAACACTCAATAAATGCTAGCTGTCATCCTCCTGCTCTTCCTCCTCATCATCATTTTAATTTAGACCACTGTAACCAAATACCACAAGGTGGTTTAAGCAACAGGAATTTAAGTCTCTCAGTTCTAGAGGATGGGAAGTCCAAAATCCCCAGTGAGGGCTCTTCCTGTGTGACAGATGGCCACCTCCCCCACACGAGATGGAGTGCAAGTAAGCTACTTACTCTTCCTCGTCTTGTAAGGACACTAATTCCTTCATGGGGGTCCTATTCCCATGACCTCATCTAAACCTAATTACCTCCCACAAGCTCTGCCTCCAAATATCATCACACTAAGGTTAGGGCCTCCGCATATGAATTTTGGGGAGATACAACATTCACTCCATAACAGTCATCTTTATCATGATCTGTTCCAGAGGGCAGAACAAGATAGGGAATTTTGGCAAATAGAAGAGCTCTAGCAGTTGGAAGAGTCCAACAGAAGAACAAGTGCCCTTTGGGGGTTCCTGCCTGGAGTCGGAATGTCTGCTTGGATAACCTTCAAGCTCTGAGCTTGAACACTTGATTAGATAACTTTGGTGTTTGGAATCATAGCCAGAGTTGTACGTGCATAACTGAGCCAAAGGCTCAAACTTGCATGTCTGCAACCGCCTCTCAGAAAGAGGGTTACTTTCAGTTCTGGACACACTCTCCCTGCACGGTGGCCAGAGCAGGTTCTGGCTGCTGTTCAGGCCAATCATCTGGCACCTGGACTCTGGCCCCAACATCCTCTGATATGCAGAATCACTTGAACATCTGCAAGAAACTTCAAGGGGAGATTTTTTTTTTTTTTTTCCACTTTATGAATTTGCCACATGATGGCTTGAGGTGAGCTGAGGACACTAACCTTAGACAGGTTGGCAGCACTAAGCTGGAAAGGATTAAAAACTCATTCAAACATGTCAACCAATTAGTAAATAGAATTGTCATCAAAGCATATTGAAAGAATATCATCTAGGATAGCATTTGATTTGAGGCTAGATGAAGAAAAACCTTCAAATTTTAAAATTAGAGGAAACTTTCAAAATTATGATGAAATAATCATGATGGTAGTAATCACAATAGGAACTACTAGTTATTGAATGCTTGCGTGTGCCAGGACCTTTGCTATGCATTACCTCCGATCGTTTTTTTTTTTTTTTTTTTTTTTTTTGAGATGGAATCTCAGCACTTTGGAAGGCCGAGGCAGGCAGATCACTTGAAGTCAGGAGTTTGAGACCAGCCTCGCCAACATGGTGAAATCCTGTCTCTACTAAAAATACAAAAATTAGGTGTGGTGATGTGAGCCTGTAGCCCTAGCTACTCCGGAGGCTGAGGCAGGAGAATTGCTTGAACCCAGAAGGCAGAGGTTGCAGTGAGCTGAGATTGTGCCACTGAACGCCAGCCTGGGCAACAGAGTGAGGCTCCGTCTCAAAAAAATAAAAAAAGAGCTCAAGGAGGCAAAAATTATGTTTGGCTTGGAGGAGAATCCATTGCTTTGGATCCATTCACAAATATTTATTACCCACTATGTACTAGGCACTGTGCTAGGATCATATCAAGCAAGGCACAGAAAAGGCGGCATTTGAGTGGAGCCTGAAGGATGAATACATATTTAAAACCCACTGCAATGTGGATATTGCCGTAACCATTGTGTTGTTGAAGGATTCTGAGGGAGAAGGGTCGTTGAAGAGATATGAAAAGTTGGTGAACCTGAATCTGTAAATCCGTGGCCTGAGTGCCAGGCTGCAGGACTTGTAAGGGCTTTAAGAGTCTCACTGCCTTCATTAGTTAAAGAAATGTTTTTGGGGGCTGTCCTATAGAAGGCTCTGAGCTGGCCATGGCATTAGGCTCTACTGTTGATGTTTTGTTTTCTGGGGGAAGATAAATCCTGGGGGAAGGATGTCTGGGCCACGGCATTTCCACCTTCTAGGGCCTTTGTCATCACCAGACACCTGAGTAGGTGGCAGGAGAGGACCCATCTGTGCAATAGACAGCTGTCTTCTCTTTTTAAAACAAAAAAAGAGAATTTGAGGCCAGGCGTGGCGGCTCACACTTGTAATCCCAGCACTTTGGGAAGCTGAAAAGCTGACTGGGGTGGATCTCCTGAGTTTGAGACCAGCCTGGGCAACATGATAAAACCCCATCTCAATAATACACACACACAAACACACAATTTGAGATTTTCCAGAAAACCCTTTCCCCTTGAGATCCTGAAGTAGAAATTTCCAGTCTCCTGATGTCATTGGTTATGTCTCAAAGGAAGATAGGAAACCTGGAAGCAGCTAAAACCCAGGCTCTCAGCTCAGCCTCAGGCTCAGTGATAATGTTTACAAAATAGCCTTTCTCAGAATTAAAAGTAACATGATATGTTTTTATTTCTCTTGCTTGTAGCCCAGAAGGCTCTTTCTTGTGGATATATCACTCAAAGTAAGTGCGCTGAATTCTAGATTTCTAGTGGATGTCTCCCACAGTCACTGTGGCACCCTCTACAGTCCATTCTTCACACGGCAGCCAGCCATGGTGCTCGGCCAAAGTCGGAGGGGTGGGTGGATTCCTGGGAATCTGGAATGTTATTGCTGCAGCCTCCCTAGACTTATCGATATAGAACCATGGCTTGTATCTTGCCATCAGTTCTCCTCAGACTTCTCTTCAGTGCTGTCATTTGAAAACATTCCTGTCTTGCTGACAAAAAGTATCTAGGGAGATACTGTCTATTATTCTGTCCTTTAAATGTTATATAAAGACCTATGCAAGAAATTGCTCTGAGAATAAGAATCGGGGGAAAAAAATTGAGTCTCTTGAGAAACCAGTATGTATCTTTAAAATTTTCTTTTCTTATTTTATGAAAACAAAATAAGAAGCACGTAAACCTTTATATTTCCTATGGTTGGCTTGGTTGTCAGAAAGCTCAGAGCAAAGTATTGCACTTAACTGCTTGTACTTGCCCCAGCCTTCATTTCCGATGTCATTTATCCCCTGGTATGAAATCCTGACTTTTATGCCCACATGCCATGTGACCTTGGAAATTTGTTCAAATCCACCCAGCCAGTATCTTGGCTGTGAAATGAAAGTAACGGTGAAACATTTCTTTGTTTGATGACTGAGGTCGTGTGAAAATACATACCTGGGTGACTAAATCAACGTATCTCTTTCTGTTCTTTCTTGTGTTTTTTAATCTTGTGTTGTTTTTCTGTTTACTGTACCTATATATTGGAAGCCATCTCATACACTTCCAAGAGTTAATGGGCTTTAAAACAGGTTTCATAATATTATGCCTGTTCATGAGTTACCTCACCACCTCATTTGTCCAACAGAAGGGCATTGTATCCATTGGCTTTCCTCTTTCCTCATCCTCCAGAAGCCCCCTACCTTTTCTTTGCTTTCTTTTCTTTTTATTTTATTTTTTTAAATTTTCTGAGACGGAGTCTGGCTGTGTTGCCCAGGCTGGAGTGCAGTAGTATGATCTTGGTTCATGGCAACCTCCGCCTCCTGAGTTCAAGCAATCCTCCCACCTCAGCCTCTCAAGTAGCTGGGATTACAGGCACCCACCACCATGCGTGGTGAATATTTTCTATTTTTAGTAGAGACAGGGTTTTGCTGTGTTGGCCAGGCTGGTCTTGAACTCCTGACTTCAGGTGATTGGCCCGCTTCAGTCTCCCAAAGTGCTGTAATTACAGGATTGAGCCACTGTGTCAGGCCCCCGACCTTGAAGAGACTTTCACAATGAATGAGAGTGTAGAAACTTTCTCAAATGGATGGCTACAGTGGCTTTCAAGTAGTTTCCTGAACCTCTTGTTCAGGGACCCCCAGATTTCCTGAGGCTGTTACTGCTAACCTTTGGGCAAACTGAATTTTTCTCTAGACTTTTATAACAATCTGAATTCTGCTGGTTTTAGCTAAAGAGATGATTCTTGGAAACATGCATTGGTTTTTCATGAAGACTATAACTTGTTACAGTCATTTTCAACTCATAAAGCTCTTTCATGTATGCTATTTCATTCAGTCTTCAAAATTACCTTCATGGTAGGTCTGTTATTAGTATTATTAACTATACTTTTTGGAGGAGAAAGTCAAAATTCAGAGAGGGAAAATGTTGTATCACAGTCACAAAGCTAGTTAGTGGCAGATATAGGACTCAGGTTTATGCATTAATACACTCTAGCCCCCTTTTCCCTTCTCTTCCTCTAGGGCCCCCAGAATAAGCTGAGGGCTGGGGGCTGCCCAGGGAAGAGAGATTGAGAGAGCTTCAGGTCTGTTCTCTCTCATTCAGCTAGAGTGTCTCATTGCTGCTTGTTGAATAAATTGGCTGTTTTCAGTTTTTTTTTTTAAAAACTAATCTCTGCTATAAAAAGAATTTGGAAGCCCCAAGTTTGGGGACTACCACATTTTCTAAAAATGCTTGTAATCTTTTCCATTTCTTAGAAACCCAGAAGTTGATGACAGCGCTCAGAAGGGCTGGTGGTTTCCTGACTGGTTTAACAATGGGTAAGGTGATCAGACAGCGATCAGTGTTTGCCCACCCATCTGATGCTTATAGAGGGTCCACACACAATGGTTTCATGTTCATGACCTTCTCAGCCACTCATCTTTCTTGCGTATTGAAATTATTTGAAGAATATTTTGTGAGTGAGACTAGGACATTTGAGGGTTGGTTTTGTTCTTGAGACAGGGTCTTGCTGTCACTCAGTCTAGAGTACAGTGGGGCAAACATAGCTCACCGTAGCTTCGAACTTCTGGGCTCAAGTGATCCTCCTACGTCAGCCTCCTAAGTAGCTAGACTACAGGTATGCACTACCACACCCAGCTAAATACGTTTTTTGTTTTGTTTTGTTTTCAGTTAACTTGGGGGCTGAGGCTTGGGCTCTTTATTTAATTTTTTGAGATGGAGTTTCACTCTTGTGGCCCAGGCTACAGTGTAATGGCACAGTCTTAGCTCACTACAACTTCCACCTCCTGGATTCAAGTGATCCTCCTGCCTCAGCCTCCCAAGAAGCTGGGATTACAGGCACCTGCCACCACATCTGGCTAATTTTTGTATTTTTAGTAGAGGTGGGGTTTCACCGTGTTGGCCAGCCTGGTCTCGAACTCTTGACCTCAGGTGATCCACCTGCCTCGGCCTCCCAAATTGCCGGGATTACAGGTGCAAGCCACCATGCACAGCCCTGGGCTAAAGCTTAGATTGCAGGAAAGACAATTATAAACTAAAATGTTCCCAGAAGAATTGTCTTATCAAGTTTCCCTCACCCCCCTGAAATAACCTGAAGGTTTTAATGCCATTAAATTGCTAATGTGCTGACTTGGAAGGGTAATGAGGTGAGTACTGCATCTTTTCATCAAAAATATGTGTTCATGAATAAATGCTTAATGTCTAGAGTTTTTTTCTGGGCAATTCACTTAGTGCTTGCATAATCTGCCTTGGAACGCATTTTCACAAGATATTCAGCAGTTCTCCCGCCACCATAGTCACCTTCCTGCCTTACCTGGTTTGTCTTCCCTTTGTACTTAGGATCCACAATTATCAACAAGAGGAAGAAGACATAGACAAAGAAAAAGGAAGAGAGGAGGAACAAAGAAAGGAAGATGACACAACAGAGCTTCAGCTATGGGACTGGTTTAATCCAAAGTAAGAAAAGCAGCGTCACTCACTGTGCAGCAAATCTGTGGCCCTGCAGGAGGTGGTGTGGCAGTGGAGGCAACAGTACCATTGAGAACATTCCTTATTTGGGAGAAAGAGCCTTAGCATATTAGATATTTAACACTAGGCTTATGGGTATGTGCACGTATTTGATTGTGATGTAAAATATATTTCTTACTGTGAGTTATGGTCAAAAACACTGTGCTACGCATTGTGATAGGCAGAAGAGACAGGAGAAATCAATCAACATGGTTATATTTGAAAAGTTCATGGTCTTATAGGGATTGTCACTGTAAAACCAGTATTTGCCAGATTGATAGGAGGCAGGATCTACTGGCAGGATCTGGTTCTGGGTGTGAGGAGATGGGAGCTGTCCAGGGTGACTTTGAGACCTGAGACTGGTGAGCAGTGGTGCCATTAGCCAGGAAGGGGACTGAGGGAAGAAACACAGGCCTCGGAGCTGGGGGAGGTGGGGAGCTCCATTAAGAATGCATGTGGATGCAGGTGCTTATGGGACATCCAGACAGAGTCACAGGGTACTCCTGAGCTTGGCAGAGGGTACGTGCTGGAGATGATCATCAGAATAATCAGGAGAGAATGGCATCATTAAAAAAATGTTTTAATTTTTATTTATTTTGAGGCAGGGTCTTGCTCTGTTACCCAGGCTGAAGTGTAGTGATGCAGTCGTGGCTTACTGCAGCCTTGACCTCCTGGGCTCAAGCAATTCTCCTACCTTAGCCTCCTGAGTAAGGAGGCTTGGTGTGTGCCACCACGTCCAGCTAATTTTTAATTTTTTTTGTAGAGACAGGGTCTTACTATGTTGTCCAGGCTGCTCGTGAACTCCTAGGCTTAGGTGGTCCTTCTGCTTTGGCCTCCCAAAGTGCTGGGATTACAGGTGTGAGCCACCATGCCTGGCCTGAAAATAGCATCTATCCCATTGTGAAGGATCTTGGGCTCTGGGAAGACTATGTTCTAGCAAGTTCTCTTATTGTTTGGGGATAAGAGATCCATGCCAGTGTGGAGAGATGGGAATTTTGGTTTCCCATATGTTGTTTGATGATCTACATGACAGGGTAGGCATCTCTGAAATGCTAAACCACTAATAGAAATGTGAGAAGATGGAAACGCTGTTGCTTTGATAAAGCCCCTTAGATTGGGGAATGAGAATCCCTAAGGAGCAGGCTAGATGGGCTAGAGATGGACAAAGGCCCTTCTAAGAAGAATAGGGCAATTTAACTGTGGCGCTTGTGCTTTGCTGAGCAGGACTTGGGAGGTGGGGCTGGGGCTGAATGATTGAGGGTAGAGAGGAAGGACAGACCACAGTCACCAGCTCTCACTGTCTCTACTCTCCCCCTTGCATGGCTTTACCTCCAAATGAATAGGAAGCAGACATTTATTTTTATCTATCTATCTATCTATCTATCTATCTATCTATCTATCTATCTATTTATTTATTTGGGACAGGGTCCTACTCTGCCAACCAGACTGGAGTGCAGTGGCACGATCATAGCTCACTGTAGCCCCCACCTCCCAGGCTCAAGCAATCCTCTTGCCTCAGCCTCCCAAGCAGCAGGGACCACAGGCATGTGCCACCACGCCTGGCTAATTTTTGTATTTTTTGTAGAGATGGGGTTTTGCCATGTTGCCCAGGCTGGTCTGGAACTCTTGGTCTCAAGAGATCCCCTGCCTTAGCCTCCCAAAGTGCTAGGATTAAAGGCGTGAGTCACTGCGCCTGGGCACAAGCCGATTATTTAAAGAATGTTGGTTTGAAGTAGCACCAAATGTAAGCCTTCTCAGGGTACCTAAGTCTATTTCTTGCATAAATGAATGATTGGATGAAGGAATGGATGAACAAATAAGTATACTTTGTGTACTTATAAATGTATATTTATCCTTTTCGGCCGTGCGCAATGGCTCATGCCTGTAATCCTAGCACTTCAGGAGGCTGAGACAGGCAGATTGCCTGAGCTCGGGAGTTCAAGACCAGCCTCAGCAGCGTGGTGAAGTCTCTACTACAAAACAAGTCAGCTGGGTGTGGTGGCAAGCACCTGTAATCCCAGCTACTCAGGAGGCTGAGGCACGAGAGTTACTTGAACACAGGAGGCAGAGGTTGCAGTGAGCTGAGCCACTGCATTCCAGCCTGGGCAACAAAGCAAAATTCTGTCTTTAAAAAAAAGTGTTCTTTTTAATAAACTACCTAAAACCATGATATATTGTGCATATTTCCCTATCAAGGTTGCTTTGCTTCCATGACACCAAATCCTCATTTGTGACTGTTTTCTGGTAGGGGCAGCTCCCTCTTCCCAGCTGCCGGGGATTAGAGTTTATAGGGGCTAAGTCCAGTATCCTCTTCTCTGTTCTTTATACACCATTTTCCAAAGTGCTCTCCTCCATTTTCTTGGCATTAGGTACCATTAGTGAGATTAGAGACCATTCCACATTTAAATCTTTAGCCCAGATGTTGCCTTTGAGCTGTGACTTGTGTCTACCTGCCTGCCTGACATCTCTGCATGTCTTACATGGCCAGAATGGATTTCTCAATTCCTCCCCACCCTTGTTCCCCTCACTTTCCATCCCATTAAATAGCTCAAGCCACACAGTGTGGGAGACCTTTTCCTCTATCTATCTCACAGTCTAATTCATTAGTATGTTCTGTCAGTTCCTCCTCCAAAATCCTTTCCCTTTCATCCCCTTCTCTCCATTCCACAGCCACTCTGCCATCCCTGTTCATGTTGCCGTCAGCTTTTCTCTGCATCCTTGTATAGCCAGCCTGCTGTTGCTTAGAGGGAATTCAGTCAATAATGAGTTGTGCTGGGCGCAGTGGCTCACGCCTGTAATTCCAGCACTTTGGGAGTCTGAGGTGGGAGGATCGCTTGTGTCCAGGAGGTCAAGAATAGCCTAGGCAACTTAGTGAAACAAAAAATCAAAAATTGTCTCTACAATAAAATCAAAAATTAGCTGGATGTGATGGTGCATGCCTTTAGTCCCAGCTACTCAGGAGGCTAAGGTGGGAGGATCACTTGAGCCTGGGAAGTTGAAGCTGCAGAGAGCTGTAATCATGCCACTACACTCAGCCTGGGTGACAAGGTGAAACCTGTCTCAAGTAGTAATAATAATAATAATAATAATAATAACAATAATGAGTTGTATGTATTCCACATCTTTTTTAAACCTACTGCATGATTCATAGAATTTTAATGCTTTCTCTACCCAACCCTTGGGTACCAAAATGTACCATAAATAAATACATAAAATTTAAAAGCTGCCAATAACCTAGGGAGGTGTGTGCTTTGGTTAGGGGGCCCTTTTATTTGGGGGGAAGCTTTTGTGGAACTGCACACACTGGCATCACATCATTGCATGCCCTACTTGGAAGGAAAGCATCTGAGCAGCTCTTTCCTGGCACTTTTTCCTTTCTTTTAGTGTCCCATCTTTGTGATCTAGGACTTCTCTGGCAGTTGACATTGTCAAAGACTAGGTTTTGCATATGCGTGAGCTGCCCTCCATCACTTCTTTTTTTGGGGGTTTTGTGGTTTTTGATGACTAAGACTCCTCCATGTAGCGGTTCATGCCGGAAGCAGATGTTGATCTCATTCTCCCTCCTCCCCCTTCTCCCCAGCTGCCTGCATTTTCAGGCTGTTGTGTGGCTTTGTAGTCAGGGTCACTGACATGTTGGAACTGTCAGTGGAATCACATAATTAACAGCTGGGAAATAGAATGCTTTAATTTTTAATTCAACATTAATTTTTAATATTGCTACTTTTTCTTCCTACTTGAAGGAAGCCAAGTAATTTAAGCTGGACTCTGGTTTTCTAACTCAGTTCTTGTAGAAGACCTGGACCGAGTGATCATGTGGTTGAGGAGTGTGTAGCAGGTGGACCAGCTGTTGGGACTGTGAGTTTCTCAAGGGGAAGGACTGGGTCTCATTTTTCCCATCTCGGTGCTTAGCAGGATGACCTGGTATAGACCAGGGAACTGGAAAATGTGCGTCAAGGGATCAGCCACCCCAGTTGGGTCTTTTATATAAATTAAATGGCAACAGGCTCCATTCCCCTCCTCTTTCCTATCCTCCACTTTATTTGCAAAATGGGAATGATGATGGCACCCACTTCATAGAGTGGTCGTTAAGATTAAATGAAAGAATAAAAGTCAAGCACTTAGCTCCTGGTGCACCATAAGTATTAAATAACCATACCTATTCCTCTTTTTCCTTTTTTAAAAAATAATATCACCTAATGTCCAGCTTATACACAGTGACAAGACTTAGCTAGGTTAGAACTACTAAAAGATCTTTGACAGGCCAAAACTAAGATTAAGTGAATGAGGTGCAATGAAGAAGAGAGTGTTAAGTTCAGAAACAGTTACAAAAGTATAAGATAGCTGTATGGGTTATTTATTTATTTATTGGTTTTTGGTTTGCAATCTCATCATTCAACAAAGCTAAGCGTTTTACAGGACTGAAAGCACCATGTAAGCTCCAACATGGTGTGGTTGGAAGAAGTCCTAGATCACAAAGATGGGGTACTAAAAAGAAAGGAAAAAGAGCCAGGAAAGAGCTGCTCAGATGCTTTCCTTCCTGCTCAGATGCTGTTGTGTGAAAACAACAACAAAAGGCTCATCACTTCTCAGTCCGAATTGACGAAAATGCCAATGCAAATAAAAAGAATTCCTTTTTATTTATTTATTTATTGAGATGAAGTTTTGCTGTTGTTGCCCTGGCTGGAGTGCAATGGTGTGATCTTGGCTCACTGCAACCTCTGCCTCCCAGTTCAAGCAATTCTCCTGCGTCAGCCTCCCAAGTTGCTGGAATTACAGGTGTGTACCACCACGCCTGGCTAATTTTGTATTTTTTTAGTAGAGACAGGGTTTCATCATGTTGGTTAGGCTGCTCTCGAACTCCTGACCTCAAGTGATCTACCTGCCTCGGCCTCCTAACGTGCTGGGATTACAGACGTGAGCCACTGTGCCCGGCTTATTTTTTAAGTGGAAATAGTGTTATACTTAGATCAGGACAAACCTGGGTTTTAACCCCAACTTCATCAGCAGAGGGATGAAATGGCATATAAGAAACAGTATAGGTGGTGGTTCAGCTCAGAGCATGGACTCCAGTGTCAGATGATCTTGTTTAAATCCCAGCTTTCACCTAGCACTAGCTGTGCAACCTCAGGCAAGTTACTTGACTTCTCTGTGCTAGCTTCTTCACTGATTAAATGGGAATAAAAATAGCACCTACCTCAGAAGGGTGAGCCCTTTGCACGGTGCCTGGTCCCACAGGAATTGCTCAGTGTGTGTTAGCTGCCATCATCAGTGACCAGCTGTTTGGCCTTGGACGAGATGATAAGCTGCTCTGAGACCGGGTTTTGTTATCTGGACCGTGGACATGATACATTGCAGGGCTGTTGCAGCAACTAAATGAGAAAGTGTACGTGATGGGTGCCTGGCACAGGTTGGTGCAGAGTGCATGGTAGCTTCTTCCATGACTGAAGGAAACCAAGGGCAACTGTCTTCCCTGCAGCAGGCGTACCTGGGGTGCTGAAGGCAGAGCTAAGTCTTAGAGTTTGAGACTCCAGACAAGATGAGGTGAACCAAGAGAGTACCCTGAAAGTGTTTCCCCTGTCTGCCATCTGGACCAACCTGGAGCAATTCCAGCTGTGGGGTAGTAGGCCAGTTCCCGCTGTGACAGAACCTGGGAAGCAGACTAGATGTGATGCCTGGGGCTGGGGTGGGAGGGCAGAGTCAGCTCAAGAATTACAGAGTGCACTATTTGGGGACAAGGGACAGAAGGCCTGAGATAAGAGTCTACTGAGGCTCTTTTCCATTCTGAGGCTAGGGTGAGGCAGGGGGTGGCCCAGCTGTGCTCATCAGCCTCGCTGTGGGAAAACCCAGCTTTGCTAATGGGTAGGGCGGCTCTGTGAAAACCCAGCCCTCCACGGGCCTTGCTGGCCCGAGGTATTTGCTAACCTCTCCCTGACAGCCTTACAAGAGCCAGTGCAGCCAGCAGGGATCACCAGGACTTTGCCCCAGTCACATGCCTTCCCAGGGTTGAATCAAGATGCTGCCCACAGTGAACCCAGTGAAGTACAAGAAAATGCCAAGCAGGGTGCCAGGCCCATACTGGGGTTTGAATTTAAATGATCTGTGCCAGTCTATGCTTCCAAAGGGGGAATGCCCCCACCTCCTAGGCCAATGAAGAGTCAGAGCCTCCCCCTGCCTGGAGCTCCACCCACACGCTGGCCCATGCTGCTCTGTGCTTTCTGCATTTAACCTTCAGGGCTTTGCAGTTTTGTGCTTTGTCATTGCTTCCTGTGTTTGTGTTGGTCTCACCAAGTCCAGTTCAAGCTCTCTGAGCACAGCAAAGCACCCTCCCTCTCGCCCCTTTTGTGTTCCTAGAAAAGAGGCTCCTGGTCTAAGAAGAAGGTCCTTGCCAGAGCCCTGGGCTCCAGCCTTAGCCTTGGTGGGCCTCTATGAAGTCCCCTCCTTTCTGGCGCCTTTGTCCCTTGTTTATTAAGTGAGCGGTAACATCAGAATCCCTTTAATCTGGGGCTTTTTTTGGCCAATAACCAGGTTCCCACCCAGATATCCCTTCTGACAAAAGGCCAGAAACAGCCTTTTCTCTTTCAAATCTAATGTCACTCTCTCATCCGCCTGTATCAAGGCTTAGGATCTCCTTAAGCTCAGATGACATCCACAGGGATAAATAACACCCTAGGGTGCTACTGGTAGTTTAGGAAGGGGCTGGGGAAGTAGGGAAAGTAGGGAAAGGGATTTAGAATTAGGAAGAGAACAAAGAAAGTAGAAGAGGAAAGAAAATATGAGATGTAGAGGTTAAGAGCCTCATAATGGCCCCCCAAAGTAGCCTTCAGAGGACACAGTGCTCACACCTGTAATCCTGGCACTTTGGGAAGCTGAGGTGGGTGGATCACCTGAGGTCAGGAGTTCAAGACCAGCCTGGCCCACATGGTGAAACCCCATCTCTACTAAAAATACAAAAATTAGCCAAGCATGGTGGTACATGCTTATAATCCCAGCTACTTGGGAGGCTGAGGTGGGAGGATCACCTGAACCTAGGAGGTGGAGGCTGCACAGTGAGCCAAGATCATGCCACTGCACTCCAGCCAGGGTGACAGAGTGAGACTGTCTCAAAAAAAAAAAAAAAAAGAAAAAGGAAAAAAAATAGCCCTCAAAGGCACCTGAGTCAAAGCCTCCTCTTCCTCACCCAGAAGATGCTACCCCTGCAAATGGCACACCTCCCAGCGAAGTGTTTGGGGTTAAGCTACAGTCAGGATTCAAGGACAGTCCCTGCAGATCATAGCTGACCCCCCTTTTCCTTGGAAAGTCTCTGCCCAACAATGGCAAAGCTGCCCTGACTCAGGGGACTTTATGTTTTATCACCAGGAAACGCCCAGAGGTTGTGACAGTGACCAAATGGAAGGCGCCGGTTGTGTGGGAAGGCACTTACAACAAAGCCATCCTAGAAAATTATTATGCCAAACAGAAAATTACCGTGGGGTTGACGGTTTTTGCTATTGGAAGGTAGGTGTCACTGATAAAACTGTCCAGACCTTTTCTTGTTCCACTATCAAAATGTTAGTGTGGGGACTCCTGAACTGATGGAGGCCAGCCACGAGTTTTTGATTAGATAGGAGAATGTTTTCGTGGGACCGTTTCAGTCCCTTTCTGCTGAGGCCCTAAAATGCTGAGAACAAAATAATAGTAGGTAAGTCCATTCATTCCCACCTCAAAATGAGGGCCTTGGGTTGCAGGAAAAAAATGTCTGCTCCACCCACCAAACCCAGGGTCAGCAGCATACCCACAACCACCTCCTCCCTGACCACCGTGGCTTCCTTTAGAAATTTCACAAGTGCTAGCTGCTAGACAGCTCAAAGGGCATCATTCCTTTTCCTGTGCTCTATGGCCCAGGACCAACTACAGAGAAATTCATAACAAGTTCTAGGTGCAGAGTGACCTACGCACAGTGGTTTTCCATGCCGGAACACAGCTGACCACTCTTCCGTGGGTTCCTCAGATCACTTCTACTTTTTCCCTCGTGGAGAATTTGGCCCCAGGAGATTTGGCTGGTCAGAGCTTGCTCTTCCAAAGGTTGGATAGGTTCCAGTTTCAGCTCCCTTGTTCAGAACATATGATGCAGAAAAACTGCAATCATTCTTACTTGAAAGTTCTAGCTCTAATATTAGTTGTTAAAGATAATCCATTTTACTTTTTTGGAGAATTTTCCTTTTTTCTTTTTCCAAAATAAAACTGAAAGTCCAATTTTCCTATTTTTTTTTTCTGCCCTCTGGGGCTTTCTGTCTGTATCTCTTCTGAAGAAGCCTCATGGAAAGTTGATTCCCTTGCCTTGTATAATGGAAGTTGAAGGCTCAAGTTGATCTGAGCTTTGCCAAGGTGGGGCTTAAAACAGAGCTCTGTAAAGATCTGATAGTTCTCCAAAGATAACCTTCCCCAACCCAGAGCCCAGCAGCTATTACTGTTCTGTCATTAACAAATACCAATCACGTTCTAATGTCACTGAATGTGCTGATCCTAGGGACCTATGTCGTGTCTCTAACAGAGAAGGGTAACTGTGGAGTTTTGACATGTTTACTATAAGAATCTGTACTAGTATAAGTCGGGAGCCAGTGCTCAGCTTACCTAATCCTTTGCCACAAAACCCAGCCACATTGCAGATTGATTTGATCCTGGTGTTTCCAAAAAGAACAGAACATCCCCCAATGCCCCACAGTGGCTTCAGCCATCTAGTTCCAACTCTGCAGAACTAAACTTTAAGTGTACATCCTGGTGAAAGCACTCTGTCCTCAGCTCTGAGGCAAGAGAGGACTGTTTGTACTCAGCAGCAATAAATCTCTAAAGTGGATTTGGACTTTTAGGAGGTGTGATGTTTGGTTTGTTTTCAAGCAACAATGCGTGGAGCCAACTGCAGTGCTTTAATCACTAAACAATGTGAAACCTCACAATGACTCTCCCCTGCACTGGATCCCACCCCACCCCACCCCAGTATTGTTTCCCAAGCTTCAGGGCACAATAGATTTTTCTTGAAGTCCCAGAATACTGAAGGATTTCCTGGCCGCTAGCCACAGAGTCATGTTGAAGTCCCTTTTTATATTCCTCAGATATATTCTCTTCATTTAAAGAATCAATACTATAAACCTTGGATTACCACGTGCCAACATGAAAAGCACACTTTATTTTGGTAACAAAGAAACAAAATCCAAGCAGCAACAAAAAGGGAAAAGAAGGGCCAGTCATTGTTACTCACAAAACACCATGATTGGCCAGTAGTGTGGTCAGCACATTAAATTCAGTCCACGTGAGTTTAGGGTTTGGTCAAGTTGTATTAAGCCATCTGGTCTATTCTTCCTCTTCCTGGTAATCTCCATACCATGGCTTCACAAGATAGTCTATAGCTTGGGCTTACAGAAGACACCAATAAAATGTTTTTCAAATGAATAAATAGTTAAAATACCACTGAATACCTACTAGAATGGCCAAAATTCAAAACACTGACAACCCCAAATGCTGGCAAGGATGCGGAGCAACAGGAACACTTATTCATCGCTGGTAGGAATGCAAAATGGTACAGCCCCTTTGGAAGACCATTTGGCAGTTTCTTACAAAACTAAATATACTCTTACCATACGATCCAGCAGTCGTGCTCCTTGGTATTCACCCAAATGAGTTAAAAACTTATGTCTACACAAAAACTGCACACAGATATTTATAGAAGCTTTATTTCCTAATTGCCAAAACTTGGGATGCAACCAAGATGTCCTTTGGTAGGTGAATAGAAAAATGAACTATGGCACATCCAGACAATGGAATATTATTCCATGCTAAAAAGAAATGAGCTATCAAGTCATGAAAAGACACGAAAGAACCTTAAATGCATGTTACTAAGTTAAAAAAAAAGCCACACTGAAAAGGCTACATGCTGTGTGCTTATATGACATTCTGGAAAAGATAAAACTATGGAGACAGTAAAAAGGTCAGTGATTGTGAGGGAGTGTTCAGGGAGGGAGGGATTAATAAGCAAAGCTCAGAGAATTTTTAGGGCAGTGATGCTATTTTGTATGGTAGTATAATGATGGATACATGTCATTATACTTTTGTCTAAACCGTTAGAATATCCCACATCAAGAGTGAACGCTAATGTAAACTATGGACTTTGGGTGATAGTGATATGTCAGGGTAGCTTCATCGATTGTAACAAATGTACCACTCTGGTACAAGGATGTTGGTAGTAGCAAGGGGCTGTGCAAATGTGAGAGCAGGAGGTATGTGGGAACTGTGTACTTCTGGCCCAATTTTGTCATGAACCTAAAACTGCTCTAAAAAACACAGTCCTTTATTTCCTTGTTGTTGTTGTTGTTTTAATTTCTTTTAGTTTTTTAATCTTCTTTTTTCATCTATTTTACTCAACCACCAAATGTGGCTTACTGCTAACACCGTCCTTTTTTTTTTTTAAGACAAAGAAAAAGTGGTTAAAATAAGGTTAAATCAGAGGTTGCTCACTCTAGTGTCTGGACTTTATAATGATGGTGTGTGGACAATGGATTGGTGTTTTAGGTGACTACTGGGAGGCTCATAGGATAACTATGTAACATGAAAGCAGACCTAGATCTTGTAACTCATTCTCCATATCACAGAGGAGGACAAGAGAGTGCTGCTGTTTGGGCTTAATGCATCCCCAGTGGTTCCAAGGGTCACATCACTCTTGTATCTGGTCTGGCAGTAACAACACTGGGGCTTATGTTAGGGCTTTTGAGTGGAGCTCAAGAACTAGTACTCCCTTTGACTGTCCAAAATCTGAACCAATTGGTAAATTACACAAAGGGGTAAGATAGGCAGAGGGTGGTAAATACCACCTTCATTATAGTTAAAGCTGATATTGGAGAATGTGGCTTATATCTGCAGGCCCTGGGTCTCCTAAATATTCAACCCCCAGAGTTAGAAAGACTGAGGCATCCAGGCACCTATAGGCCTCTGGATGTGGGAATAGGTCCTGTACCAGTAAGTTTCCTGCAAAACCCAGAGCAGTTGAGAACACATGCTCTCTTGGACTGGCTGGCTTCTAAGAGCCAGAGAAGAAGAAGGACAAGGTAGTGCATGTCTAGTTCTAGTTGCTTTTCCAAAATTGGCAGTCAGATAAGTCATTCCAGCTTCCCAAGGACTGAGTGACTAAATGGTGGAGAATTGCCAGGGGTGTTGCACTGACATGAAAACACACCCAGGGTGGGAAGAAATCATTCTCCTATTAACCATAAAATATAGACAAGATGATTCTAATAGCATGTGGTTTCTTTCAGGAATCCCAGATGTTAAATGTTTTACTTTTCTTCTTCGTTTCAGATATATTGAACATTACTTGGAGGAGTTCGTAACATCTGCTAATAGGTACTTCATGGTCGGCCACAAAGTCATATTTTACGTCATGGTGGATGATGTCTCCAAGGTGCCATTTATAGAACTGGGTCCTCTGCGTTCCTTCAAAGTGTTTGAGGTCAAGCCAGAGAAGAGGTGGCAAGACATCAGCATGATGCGTATGAAGACCATTGGGGAGCACATCTTGGCCCACATCCAACACGAGGTTGACTTCCTCTTCTGCATGGATGTGGACCAGGTCTTCCAAGACCATTTTGGGGTGGAGACCCTGGGCCAGTCAGTGGCTCAGCTACAGGCCTGGTGGTACAAGGCAGATCCTGATGACTTTACCTACGAGAGGCGGAGAGAGTCGGCAGCATATATTCCATTTGGCCAGGGGGATTTTTATTACCACGCGGCCATTTTTGGAGGAACACCCATTCAGGTTCTCAACATCACCCAGGAGTGCTTTAAGGGAATCCTCCTGGACAAGAAAAATGACATAGAAGCCGAGTGGCATGATGAAAGCCACCTAAACAAGTATTTCCTTCTCAACAAACCCTCTAAAATCTTATCTCCAGAATACTGCTGGGATTATCATATAGGCCTGCCTTCAGATATTAAAACTGTCAAGCTATCATGGCAGACAAAAGAATATAATTTGGTTAGAAATAACGTCTGACTTCAAATTGTGCCAGTAGATTTATCAATTTGAAAGAGGAGTATTCTGGCTACTTCCTCAGAAAAGTAACACTTAATTTCAACTTAAAAAAAATACTAATGAAGCACCAACATGGCAAACACATACCATTCCTCCTTGTAATGTGGGGCCTTGTAATGTGGGAGAATGAATCTAGGGTAATCAGATGTAAATTCCTAGTGATTTCTTATCTATTCTGGGTTTGGGGGAAATACTATCAACTGAACCAAAAAGAACTTGTCATAGGCAAAGATAAAGCCAGAAACACTCTACACATGCCAGATAACATGCTGGAGAAAAGGGTGCTAAGGGAAGCGTTTGGCAGCAAGATATGATTGTAACGGGCTGTCCCTTGAGTTCAATGTCTGCCTATTTCTGGTGGGTCTAAAGTAACATGGAGTTACTTTGCAGGAGATCTCTCAGTAAAGACACCATTTACGTTGGCAATCCTCAAAAGGTTTCAACAGCAGATTGCTTCAGGCCATCTGTAGTCCATCCTTTTCTCATCAGGATGTTGTTTGGCTTCTGTGTGAAAGATTGGTGAGTGTCCCAGTAGATATCATGGTGGTGTGTGATCAGAGTCTCAAGGAATCTGAATGAGCCAAGGTGCCCAGAGTGAAGTAAAAACAAAACCTCGACATGAGTTTGCCATGAAACAGCAAAGAGCGAGTGAAAGAGAGGAGCCATCACTGTGGGGCAGAGCCACCCTGGGGCACTTAGGGCATGGGGTTGGTGCTTAAATACATCATGGATCCAGGCACTGAGTGGGAGGAAGTGTGGGTGATTTCCAGCCTCATTGACTTATGAATGACAAGCAGCAGGGACTTGAACAGAAGATGCTTCTTGTTTTGCCTGAGTGGTATTCAGTCTACCAGACTCTGCAACTTGCATCTTCAAATCCTTGGCAAGGAGATGTGGATGGTGTCAGAGAAGGCAAAGGCCTGCAGTGGACTGAAGAGGCTTGCAAGGAGTTCCGTTCCCAGGATGTGGGCCTCATCAGAGGACGATTGGTCATCAGCTGGTCCCACCACTTAGCTAGTCTCAGGATTCCTCAGTCCATCATAACCCAACTTGGAGGGCTGACATCAAGGAGTAGACTGGAGAAATAGCCCTCCCATCAAGTAACCTCTTGTTTTCTCCTGCTCTACCTGCACGATGAAAGTGTAACAACTAGACTTATTTGGCAAAATGGTTAACTGATTTTGTAACAAAAGCATGAGCCATAACAATGGGAGATCTAGTTATAATGACTGAACAGCTTAACATTCAATTCCCTTCTCTAAGAGAAGCTGTGAAATCCTACATATTATTTAAAGTTAACCAAATCAATGTAAAGGAAGTTAGGAGGCATCATGTACATATGCACATATATTTATATTTTGCTTGTGTTCCAGTCGAGGTCATTTGTTTTCATTTTCTTTTCTTTTTTCTTTCCTTTTTTTTTTTGAGACAGAGTTTTGCTCTTGTTGCCCAGGCTGGCACAATCTCGGCTCACTGCAACCTCCACCTCCCTGGTTCAAGGGATTCTCGTGCCTCGGCCTCCCAAGTAGCTGGGATTATAGGCATGTGCCACCACACCCAGCTAATTCTATATTTTTAGTAGAGATGAGGTATCTCCATGTTGGCCAGGCTGGTCTCCAACTCCTGACCTCAAGTGATCCGCCCACCTCAGCCTCCCAAAGTGCTGGGATTACAGGAGTGAACCACCATGCCCAGCCTGTTTCCTTTTTCATGGAATTGATTTGAAGAGCCATTGTACTAGCCTGATATATACTGCAATGAGCTTTTCTGATAAAATGAAACTCAGATTTTTCTCAAGTATTTCTGTGCCTCCTACTTCATTTCTTGCTAGAAAATCTCACATCTGTTAAGACTCCTGCTTCTCTATTAGTCAGATTGTCTTGGATTCAGTCTGGAGTAGGGAGAGTTTAAAGGTTTAAGTCCTGAACCAAAGAAATAATCTAGCCTGAAAGTTTAGAGCAAAGGATTAATGTTTCCTTTTAAGGGAATTTCTTGATTTTTTAAAAAAACTTCATTAAAATTTAAATCTCCAACGGACAAATTCACGATCTCATTAATCATTATTACTAAACTTATTAAAAAATTTCCCAATTTACAATTTAATAAATTATTTTCTCAGTATATTCTGGTATGATCATGGATTGTGCATTTCCTCCCAAAGATATTCAAATTGTCAATTAGAGAATTTTAGGTTTTCAGATTCAGAAAAGTCCTCATGCCTTTCTGGAAATGTGTCCACTATTACAAAAATAGAATAGACTTGAGATTCCCATATTTTTGTTTGTTTTTGAGATAGGGTCTCTGTCACCCGCACCAGAGTGCAGTGGTGTGATCATGGCTCACTGCAGCCTCGACCTCCACTCAAATGATCCTCTTACCTCAGCCTCCCGAGTGGCTGGGACTACAGATGCCTGCCACCACACCCCACTAATTTTTTTTAAAGCTTTTTTGCAGAAAAGGGGTCTCACTATGTTGCCTAGGCTGGTCTCAAACTCCTAGGCACAAGTGATCCTCCTGCCTTGGCCTCCCAAAGTGCTGGGATTACAGGCCTAAGCCACTGTGCCCAGCCAAGGGATTATCAAACTTTTAAGCAATAAATACTTATATAGAGCTTTCCACAGCAATGCACTGGAATAATGAACTGCCAGTGGAAGAATCATTAGGGAAAGGCTTGCCCCTGAAGCCCATGGTAGGGCATCAGGGCAGAGGAAGAAAACAATGCCATCACCATATTGGGGATTATTAGTCCTGACCTCTGGAGAATATATCTGATCAAGGAGAAATGTCTGGATTTCCAGCAGGGGTACTTATACTAAAAAATTTAAAGGTGACCAGGCTGATTCAGTGAAATGCCTGAATGAGGTATGATTACCTCATGGTGAAGAATTATTCTCATTTTATAAAAGAGGAAGATGAAGTCCAGAAAGGTTTTAGACTCAGAAAAGTCCTTATGCCCTTCTGAAAATGTGTCCACTATTAAAAAAATAGAACAGACTTGGGATTCCCAAATTTTTGTTTGATTTTGAGACAGGGTCTCACTCTGTCACCCATGCCACAGTACAGTGGTATGATCATGGCTCACTGCAGCCTCGACCTCCTGGGCTCAAGGTAAGTGACTGATGTGGGCTTCATCAGAGGACAGTTGATCAACAGCTGGTCCCACCACTTAGTCTAAAGCTCAGGGTTCCTCAGCCCATCATATCCCAACGTGGAGGGCTGACATCAATGAGTAAACTGGAGAAACAGCCCTCCCATCAAGGAACATCTTGCAAGTGGTGACTGAACTGAGGCTCAATGCAGGGAAACTTAGGACAGATGTGTTGACAGCACATTCGGAGGGCCATGTTTCATATTACGGAAAGTGCAACTAGATATCTCCCCAGGCCTCTACTTTTTCCCACTTTTTATACATTAAACCTGCCCCAAATGCATTAAGTAAGTCTAAAAGCATCATGCTAAAAAAAAATAGGTTAGGCATAGTGGCTTAACGCTCATAATCCCAGCACTTTGGGAGGATAAGGCGGGTGGATCATTTGACCCCAGGAGTTTGAGATCAGCCTGGGCAACAGGGCGAAACCCCATCTTCAGAAAACATACAAATATTAGCTGGGTGTGGTGGTGTGTGCCTGTAGTACCAGCTACTCAGGAGAGTGAGGTGGGAAGATCACTTGAACCCAGGAGGTGGAGGTTATGTGAGCCGAGATTGCACCACTGCACTCCAGCCTGTGCAACAGAGACCCTGTCTCAAAAAAAAAAAAAAAAAACATTGTTATCATTCTTATCTTCACATTGTGCATAGAGGGCTGATGTAAGCACCATGGGCATGCACTGAACGGTTACCTCAGGGTAGGACTTCAGAAGGTGTGGTCAGGCAGAAGGGCAGGTGGAAGGAACAAGCCACATTTCCTCCTTCCACTCCACCTCAGATCTGGGAACCACATTCAGCCAAAAGGGGGAAAATGTGTTCAAGGCCTGAGGCTCTCTCTTAGCCAAAGCCACCACTATTAGGAACCTCAACTTAGCAGTACTTATAAGTACTTATTTAATGTACTGTTTGTCAAATGTGCCCCGTGTAAACAAATAACACTGCCATGACTGCATACTCACAAGCGTGAAAAGTCATAGAAAGTGAATGTGTAACACACTATACAAACTGTTTAAGGAAAGAAAAGAGTCAAATAGGGATCCATGGGTGAATGTCTGAGATCTGAAAGGGTGCAGATCCAGGACTTAAATCCAGGACTGCCTGCCTATAGACTGTCTTGACTATAAATCCTGTGCTATTTCCACAGCTCCAGACTTCTTGCTGTTTTACACACATACTTTTTCTTTCTTTCCTTCTTTCTTTTTTCTTTCCTTTTTCTTTCTTCTTTCTTTCTTTCCTTCCTTCCTACTTTCCTTACTGCCTTCCTTCCTTCCTTTTCTTTCTTTCCTTCCTTCCTTCCTTCTTTCTTTTTCTTTTCTTTTCTTTTCTTTCTTTTTGAGATGGAGTCTTGCTCTGTCTCCAGGCTGGAGTGCAGTGGTGCAATTTTTGCTCACTGCAACCTCCACCTCCCAGGTTCAAGTAATTCTCCTGCCTCAGCCTCCCAAGTAGCTGGGACTACAGGCATGCACCACCACGCCCAGCTAATTTTTGTATTTTTAGTAGAGATGGAGTTTCATCACATTGGCCAGGATGGTCTTGATCTCCTGATCTTGTGATCTGCCCACCTCAGTCTCCCAAAGTGCTGGGATTACAGGTGTGGGCCACCACACCTGGCCACCACACACATTTTAACCATCTTATTGTTGAAATTGGAGATACCAAAGGAATCACCATCAAAGCTCTCAATTCCTTTGTTAGGCATTAAAGAGAGGGGAGTTAGGAGACCCCAAACTCTTCAAAGGCAGAATGTAAGTCTAAAATTGGAGAAGCAGGAACATGACCTGACCAGGTATGAGGCATAGGTAGTACCAGGGCTAAGGGGTATGAAAGAAGTATGGCTCAGGGAGGTAGAAGAAGCCTCAGAGAATCTGACTCCGAACTGAGCTTTGAAAGGAGAGAAGGGGTCACTGTGAAGAGTGGATGGAATGAGGTTTCAGAGGGGAAAGCAGCTAGTGTAAAGCCCAGAGTGCTGCAATAAGACTTTCACGGAAACCCACAGGAATGGTGCTAAGGCTTTGGGACCAGGTGAGATCACTTGGCAGAGCCTGTGTGAAAAGAGCTGGCTGACCACCCCATATTCACCCAGCATTTCTGGTGCTCTCTCTTCCTTCCCAGCAATCCCTGATCTCCTTTAGGGAATTTATGTGATTTCTATGGAAACTGGTGCCATGCTTGAAGCAAGTACTCTTGGCTAAATCAATCAATCAATCAGCACTTTCCATTCCTCTGCTGGCAATGATTGATTCGAGGGTGGGTAGGTAACTTAAAGTAGTCCAAACAAAGTTAATTTTAGGTCTTCTGCTAGAAATGAGGACGCATGTAATACTGGGGGCTGCTGGACAAAGGAAGTCCACTTTAGGATGAAATTGACAATAGGAAAGGAAGAGCAGAGACACTGAAGGAAACCCAGGCCCTGGTGGCAACCTTGAGCCATTGGATCCAGCCTTACCTAAGGTCTGCACTGTCTGTGGGCTCTTCAAATGTATGGGCCAATAAAGTCCCATGATTGTTTAAGTCAGCTGGAATTGGACCCTCTCTTACTTATAACTGATAATGTCTCCACTGAACACCTCTAGGATTATTAGTTTCTTAAAGGCAGGGCCATAGTCTGCCATTGCATCAGCTCTAGCACATACTGCATCACCTATCTTGGAAGCATTCCTTAACAAATATTTACTGAACAAATGAATGAATGCACCAACATCCATTCCGATCATGCCTTACAAGAAATGCTTTGCTTTAGTTTGAAAGTTTTACATTTTTTATTATAGACTGTGTCCTATTAAAACGCAAGTGTTTGGATATTTGACAACTGGAACTTTTCCTCCTGTAATACACAGTATGAGAACACAGGAGTATGGAAACTCAGGAGTGACAGCCTGGGCTGTAGGCTTAAGCTCCAACTTGGTGCCATAAGCTGGTGGGTTCAGTGCTACTTCAAGGTCAGCAACGTGTAGAATAAATTTGTTTCATCAGCCTAGAGCAGTGGTTCTCAGCCTGGGAATCACTCTCCTCTCCATCCCACAGGACATTTGGCAGTGGCAATGTCTGGAGGTATTTTTGGTTGTCACAGTTGGTGGAGGGGTGGGTGCTATCTGCATAGTGGGTAGAGGCCAGGAATGTTGCTAAACATCCTGGGCAACATGGTGAAGCCCCATCTCCACACAGAATTAAACAAAGAAATTAGTCAGGCATGGTAGAGTGTGCCTCTAGTCCCAGGTACAGTGGGAGGAGGCTGAGGTGAGAGGATCACCTGAACCCAGGGTTCAAGGCTGCAGTGAGCTATGATTGTACCACTGCTCTCCAGCCTGGACAACAAAGTGAGACCTGCCTTAAAAACAGAACAAAACAAAACCAGCCAAGTGCAGTGGCTCTTACCTGTAATTATAACACTTTGGGAGGCTGAGGCGGGTAGATCACTTGAGGTCAGGAGTTCAAGACCAACCTGGCCATCATGGTGACACTCCGTCTCTACTAAAAATACAAAAATTAGCCAGATGTGGTGGTGAGCACCTGTAATCCCAGCTACTTGGGAGGCTGAGGCAGGAGAATCACTTGAACCCAGGAGGTGGGGGATGCAGTGAGCTGAAATTGTGCCACTGCACTCACTCAAGCCCAAGCAACAGAGCAAGACTCTGTCTCCAAAAACAAAACAAAACCAAAAAACCATCCTATAACAAAGAATTATCTAGCTCAACATGTCATTAGTACCGAGGTTGAGAAACTCAAATGTAAAGTTTTCTTGGACTTCATTGATAAACAAACATTAGGAACCAATATGTATTACACTCGCCCGTCGCTACCCTGGGAATAGTCCCCTGATCGGCATCAAGAGCCTCTAACTCATTCACAGCTTTAGAGAACACAAAAGTAGTTCTCTTTACTGGACACCAGAGGGCAGAAATTTCCAAAGATAACCCTGTTTTCCTAAGAGACTGCAGTGATTAAAAATATCCCCTTCCAGAGCTAGTGGAGACTCTGCATATTTGTAGAAATAGATATTAATTTTGCATACAAATGAAAATGGTGATTAATATTTAAAAGATATGGCTATAACAAAACAGCCTTATTAGTTAAACTAAATGAGTTTAACAATTAAAGTAAGCCTTATCTGTCTAAGCCCCAAAAGGAGTTTATTGGGAGGCTTCTGGAGAATTCTGTGAATACAGGGAGCATTGACAGGCAAGCAGTAGTGTGCTGAAGCCAGCTCAGCCTGGCTTGTGAGAGCCTATTATAATCAATACTTCCCAACTCCCTGTTCAGTGACACCACTGTGATCACTTGAAATAGGCTGTGGTGGGAGTATTTACACCATGGGAGTCATCAAACACTACCAGAGCTCTTTTTCCTTTACTTAATTTCCTTCTTTCTTTCTTTTTTAAAGTGTCAGGTGTTAAAAATTTACCAATATATTACAGCAACCAGGCCATGAGTAAGAACCAGGAAAGCTTAGGGGCCTTGGCAACTGAAAATTGTGGACTCTCCCTAGATGTCTGCTATTAATACAAATCAGTTCCAACTGTCTCCAGTCTCAGGGTTTCTTCCTTCAAAATTCTAAATTCCTAGGAAAGAAAACCTCAAAGTCACAACACCACATCTGCTCCCAGCAGCTGTGCCCTGGAGTATGTTTACTGGAGAATGATTACACTATGGGCAGTTCTCAGAGAAGCACATATTGTTGTGAGCTGGGTATCTACCCTCTAAAAGTATCTATCACTTTCCACTTATGGCTGTCTGGCTGTCAATCACTTCTTCCCATACATCTAAAATATTCCCTTACCATGATCCGAAAATGTTATATATACTGCTCCAGCATAGTCCCCTCTCCTAATAGACCACTGAATCCACCGATCATGTCAGAGGCCAGGCTGCTACTCAGTCTACTTCTCCAGATAGTAATCATTTCTCCTTTAATCCTTTAGACAGCTTGTCTGACTGTTCTGACTGTTTGACTGTTTAGCTCATGTCCAAACACCCTACAGTGACAGACAAGGAAGAAAGAGAAGGGAAAATTGTAGCCACTCCCACTTAAGAGGAAAATGATGGTTCCTTGCTCTGGAATTCAGTGGGCCTCTGCTATAAGTTTCCAATCAAAGCTAGCCACATTCTTCAACTGCCATTTCAGTCTACTTCAGATCCATTGAACTATGTAACATATGACTGGTCGTAAGGGCTGTGGCAGGGTGACTTGTCTACAGCCTGGACCAGGTAAAGCGCTTTCACTTGTCCAGGGTCCCACTAAAAGCTCACTTCTTTTACATTTATCAAGTAAATGGCAAGCAGCTGGACACCCACATGTGTGGGACATTGCCTCCAAAACTCAGACACCTGCAGGAGTTAATGCCTCTTTCATAGAAATAGGGGGCATGAAACTCTGGTTCTCAAACTGGGCTGTACC